GAGTTTTGCCAGGGAAACAAAGGGTCCAGATGACACCAGGCCGCACAAGCTCCCACACAGCTGCCGGCACCACGACGGGGCTCCCAGCTCAGGAGAGTGTGTCACAACAGGCCTACCAACAGCAATAAAAAACCCACATAGCACATGAAGTAAAGAGGAGAGAGTTATCAGAGGTGGAAGGACTGTGAGCTCCATTTCGGGGAACAATTGCGAAAAGAACTTGGACAAAGTGTGTGGAAGAGAAAATATAATGAAGGGAAGATTTTGGAAATAATATATACAAACCTAAAAACTTCTGGAAATGATAAATCACTGTTATTTCCCTTTCTAGTTATGGAGGAAGTCAGAGTAAATATTAAAAGGTATATCTGAAGAAACGTTAGAATGGAACACAGTAAATCTCCCTGTCTTGGTGACCTGTGTAGATGAGTTTGAGGTTGCAGCAACTGTGGCAGCCTTGGCTTACAGAGCCACATCCGCCCTCTACTATCACCCTGAGGGCTAAGCCCAACCAGAATGAGTAGTGCAAGTGGACCTGCTTCAACCATCTTCACCCATCTGTGTAATCCCGCTGGAGGATTCACACACACACACCCCCCCCCCAGGTTTCACTTCTTTGCTTATGCAGCGTAGGCCACATGTTATATCATTTCAACTCTCTTGCCAGTGTCCCCATTGTCCTGACTCCTTTCTTATTCCATAACACATGCTTCGTAAGTCCTAACCTTGATGCAGACAACCACCCCCACTCCTACCCAGGCTGACAGGCACTGTAAGGAAACCACACATTCTCACTCCCACTCCCAACCAACAAACACAGACCAATTCTCAGCAATGATCCATGTACTACATGTAATAAAATCCATGTACTACATGTAATACAATCCATGTGCTTGTCCCCGGTCAGGCTCTGCTCCCATTTCCCAAAATAGGTTTCCCATACCTATCTCCAACCACCTCATTTTTCTGTGAAGACAGAGCAATGTCTCTATTTCACAGAGCAAAAAAATAGGCTATACAGCCATAGTCCCATCCTGTGGGCGAGCCACTCCAGTGCACCATGACAAACTCATCAAGGAGCCAAGGGACAGCTGACATTCTCAAGGGAAATGTGATAGTCAACAACTGTCCAATATCACACAAACGACTAGCTCGAGACAGTTCAGCTGCAATAACATCGTATCTTTGTGGAGCTGAGTTTTGGTAGCTGCTGTGGTTAACAAGCAGAGACTGAGTGAAAATCAATGTGGAACAGGAAATTCAGGGTTTAAAAGCTGTGCAGTACCCAATTTATGTAGAGCAGTTTTTCAAATGACTATTAAGTTATTGAGACATAAATACTTATTAGACTATTTGGATCTAATTACTTAATAAAAAGAACTCTTAGATTTTGGCCTCGGTGAAAAACTGACTGAGACGCTAAGACTAAGGAGACTGAGAACTGAGAAAGACTGAGAGATCTGCTCTCATACAGCAGGAACCGCCTCCACCTCCACCACACATCTGCACTCTCATCTCCATCTGAACCCATCCTCACTTTTTTCTTTTAGAGTCAAAGGGAGACATATCTCTTCTGTTCAAAACTCACTTCTCTACCACACTCTTATAAGTCACTCCTTGCCCCTCTAGATGGGAACCTCTGAAGAAGGATTATCATAGCGATGTTAAACTCCGGAGTGTGATAATGAGGAACAGTGTCTGTTTTCACAGGATATATACTGAAGTATTTAGAGGTGAAGTAGTAACATGATGTCTCAACTTACTTTTACAATTGTTCAAAACGGTGGGTGGTGGGGGTGAGATCTGGCAAATTTTAACAATTGGTGAACCCAGGTAAAGGATTCACTGTACTCAAGTATTCATTGAACCCCTTTCAAGTGTGAAATTTTTCAAAATAAAAAGTTAGGGGGATATGCTATCACTACATATTGTGATGACAAATAATGATCAAAAGGTGATTTTATTTCAAACCCCATGTGCTAGTTGAAAACAAAACAAAAAATCTTATTACCCAATTATTATTTGTAGATTAAGTTATATAGCTGAAAACCAAAGAGAATCTGGTAGGATGGCAAACTATAAAATTAATATACAAAAATGCTTTGCTTTCTTGTAGACAAACAACAAACAATATATAACTGAAAGATCCCCCTAAGTGATATTAATAAAAGTCTTAAAACATTTAAGAATAAATTTAAATAATGTACTGAATCCATATGAACAAAATATTACTGAGTGATGTTTTGACAATAAAGATTCAATATTGCAAACATGTTCAGTTCTCCCCTGTAGCAATATAAAAATTTAATGCAATCAAAATAAAAATACCGACTGATTTTTAACTAGGCAAAATTTTAAAGTTTGGATTAATAATAAACCAGAAAAGGAAAGTAAGAAACATACAAACATTTGTTTATCATTATAAAGAGAAACACAGCAAAGACAAACCAGAAAAACAAGTAGGAAAGGCTGAGAGGAATGGGGCAGAGGGCACAGGAGGGAGCCATTCTTCTCTGAGTGCTCCTTGTTTGCATCATTTTGACTTCAAATGTAAATTAATATTCAAATATTCGAAACCTAAATCCCCAGCCCTCGATCCCTACTCTGCTTTGGGCTGTCTTTGTGGTCGCACTAACCTAACCCTAATTGAGGGCAGTTAACTGAGGGCTGTGGATCATAAGAATGGGAAAGGGATGGGCCTAAAATAGAAAGGAAACTGAATCAAATTACCCTGTACTTACCTTAAATCCTGACTGCTTTTTAGTAGGTTTACTTACAGTGGTATGGGCCAACCAAGTGTGAAACTATTTCAGACACGATGCAGGATTGAGCAAATGAGTGAATGAATGTGCTGCCCCTGTTGGGAGCCAGGGTCCTCACCGTGGAGGAAGGGACGCACAAATATGAACTAAGGGAGACAGGCAGGAGACATGCGAGGATGGACTGGATTGGAGCGTGAACTCACGACTCCTGAAATACGCATGTGTACTGCACTAGAAGACATGGTGGGGTTTTAAAAAATAGTAATTTTAAACTTGGGAAGTATTTCTAAGCAAGTCACAAGAACCAGAATCTGTAAATGAAGAGACTGCTCATGTAACTTGCTTGCGTTGTGTATGTTTAACAATAGTGACCTACGGATTACGATGATACTATGTGGCCGCTAAAAACAATGAGGCAGCTCTCTGATGAAAAGATGTGTGACAATACCTGAGATGCAGTTAATTGAAGGAAAAAAGGCCAGAATAATATGGGTTGTATTAATAGGGGTGCAGAGGAGATTTATAAATGCACAGAATGCCCCAGAAGGATACAAAAGAAACTGCTAATGGAAGCTGCCTCTTGGGGAAGAACTGGAAGTCAGAGGTTGACAGAGACTTAACTTTTCACTCCATGAACCCTTCTCGACTGTTTGATTTCTTATGATGTGCAAGGAGAATTTATTCCAAAATATTTTAATACATCATTATTTAATATAAACATTTTCTGCTTTTTAAAAATAAAATAATGGCCATTTTCAAATAGCACTATAGCTGAGTGAGACAGGCATGCCTACACTGTGCAGGAAAAGGTATAAGGCAGCACATGCTTTCTACAACATAATGTGGCATTCTGTAAAGAACTTAAAAGAGTCTTGTTAATTCATCCAACTGTAAATCCAACTGTAGGAATCTATCCTAATGAAATAATTAAAGATACATACAAAGATGCATTATTTATAATATTGAAAAAGTATTAACAACTTAAATGTTAAATAATAAAGGAAATGATCAAATATCATTACGCTATGTCCAGATGCTGAAGACTTTAATAAAGTATTTAAAATATCGACATGGGGAAACACTCATGATACAGTAAGTGAAAAGGGGGAAAAATATATTTAGAACATATCAAGGAAAAAGGGCACGTTACAAACAGTAGCTTAACTATTTTTGTAAAAAAAACTATTCTTAAATATATAAACTATTATGGAAAGCATGTATAGCAAAAAATAAGTCTGAAAGACTATACATGCATTTTCTCCAACCGGTGTGATTATTAGTTCTTTTAATAATGTTACTTTTTTTAATCTGTAGTTTCTAACTTTTTTCAAAATAAACATGCATTACTTATACAATAAAATTTAAAAAGATAAAAAATAAATTATTTTATATTAAAAATTAAAGGCATATACAAAAAGATATATAAACCGATGTAGAAAGTATGAACTCAGTTTTTAGGATGCAAATTTTATATATGCAATTTAAATACTGTATTTGTTTTTCTGTCTCAGGAGAAAAATATACCAAATAGTTATCTGTAATTATCCCTGGATGGTACATTAGAGGTGATTTTATTTTCTCCTTTTTACTTTTTGCATTTTCCTAATTTCTACAATAATAATTGCTGGGAGTGGGGGTAATGTTTTTAAAACAACAGCCATTTATACTTTAAATTAGGCCCACCCACTCCAGCCACGGGGAGGCCTCTTTTCTACACATCAGCAACACAGCCCGAGACCATGCCTGGGATCCTTTCAGGATTGTCCACTGTGGTGCATAAACTGCCTTGGGTCATCATGAATTTCTTTTCTTCTCCCAAATTCCCACAAGTCAGGGGATCCAAGAGACAACTGAGGAGATTCTACTAGCGTCAGAGGCAGAAAATTTACTTTTGGCCACTGTAGAATCCTACAAAAGTTAATTTCTGTTAAAAAAAAAAAGGGGGGGGCGGGGCGGGAAGGGGGACCTGTTATAGCCAACGGGGACATATTTTGATCCTCCAAATACACTACACATTAAAATGTCTCTGCCCTAATGTACTGCCCTAAGGTATGGCCAGAAAATAAAAGGTTTTATCAGTGAACTGAAGATTAGCCCAAGCAAATTTAACGATAATTAACTCCTTGAAATCTATACGGAAGGCTTTTTAAACTGGTTTATACCTAAAATCCTCCTGACTAAGGATTAGATGCATTTTAAAAATCAGTTAACAAAGTATAGGCCAAAATAATTAATTACCTCTTCCTTTTCATGCAGCATAATATGCGCTTTGAGACTAGCCACTCTGGAGAATTTCTTGTTACACACAGGACAGGTAGGATCTTCCCCATTGTGGGTACATTTATGAAGTGTCAGGTTGAATTCAACATTAAATGTTTGGGGGCACTGGTCACATCGATGTGGCTATGTGGAGAGAAAAGTCAAGAAGCCACTGAAACATAATCTTTCCACAATAAATATCACTCAAATATTAACAAGTACCATAATTTACAGGCAATCTTGCTAAGGAAATTCTGAAGTCAACAAATCCAAAATGGACACAGTAGAGCTCCTTACAGAATTTCTCAAAGAATTATAAGGACGACAACACGTCTATATAGAAAATATTTCTAATGAGAAATGCTGCATATAAATGTATCAGGATGTAGTCTCTATGAAAATAAACGTGAGAAACTTCAACTCATTGGGTGGGATTTTTCCCTTCTTTTCTGACCAACTCCATTGCTATAAACAAAACCACTTCAAGTAAAATAAGTAATCATAAAAATTTTTACTAGATTTTAACAGAGTTACTTATCCCAGTCTAAAATTTTCCCAAAATGCCATTTACTTGTAGAAAGATAAAATAATCACTGGTATTTTTCTCTGAAATATCAAGACTCTAATGAGTCAGTATTTTCACATTTTCAACTTGGGAGAATAATGCCAGTGGGTACTGGTGTTAGTATTATATTATTTTAGTTACTACATTATCATTCATGCTGAAAGGCAGAACTGGTCATATCCTGTTTCTAGAGAAGAGATCCCTGGTATTTTTCTGGTCTGAAATGGCTCACTAGCTGACATTCTCCAAACCTAGAGAAAAGTTGGCTACCACTTTTTCAATTGTAGTTGTTTTAACTGCCCCTTTCCATCTATCAGGCAGATCATTCCATTAAGACACTAAGATCCTTGACATATCCCACAAGGGGCGCTGCAAAAAGGGGTTCAAATCTCTATTTAAGATAGTGTTGCTCCTGCTGAAATACGATCTAAAATATCTCAAATACCATTTTAAAATGCAAGATCACTTAAGGGTAACACTCTCTGCTGGAGAAAAACACATCAAGATATACCAATTCTCTGCTCAGTCATATAGGAAATCGAAACTACTGAAAAAAGTCATATTTTAAGAGTATTTCTCTGTCCACTCATAAATAACTTCAATACACACATAGATTCACTACATAAGCTCTCACTTTCTCTCATTATCTAATAATGGCTAGGAATACAACTACAACTAAAAACAAAAGGTCAAAATATTCATATAATATAAAATGCTCTGCAATTTAGGAACCTAAATTATGAGAAAAATTTTTATTTTACATGTTGATTTTTACAATACCTCCAGTTTCAACGCTCACATTTCTGACATCCCTTTTGAAAATACATACCTTGTCATTTCGCTCGTGATCCCTCATGTGGCGTTGAAACTGGGACTCTTTTGGAAAAGATAGCAGACAGATTTCACATTTATGGAAGTTTGGAACTTGACAGGCATAATTAGTGTTCTCCGCATTCAATGTTAAAACTCCATCTATAAAATTGCATAAGTATAGACAATAAATACCAGTTGTTATTCTCATCACACCAATAAAACTAAATTATTTGGTTATTGTTTAGAAACCAAATTATGTCAGAGATTTATGAAAGATTTTAGATGAAATTAATGATATCTTAAAATTTTTAAATGGACATGTTTTTAAGTTAGAAATGAGAAATGTTGAGATGACTGAGACAAAGGACAACAGAATTCTAAACACTTGTTAGTAGGATTTTTAGAAACCTGAAACTAAATTCCTGAAGCTTGATGCCTACGCAAAGACACGCAAAAGCTGTAATGTTTTTTAACCTTGCCTACCTGCTTAATATTGTTTCAAAGTCACTACAAATCAGGGAGGCATTTGACCTCTAAGCCACTTGGAGAGTTCATCAATAACCCACATTGCTGCTTAAATCACTAAGTAAACAAAACTCTAGTAGAAATATAAAAGCTAATTCACTAATTCAATCTACCTCTGAATACAAAGCAGGATTAAGTCAAAAAGAAAAAAACTTTTGTTCTGTCATATAGTTATGGTTTAGGAAGATAAAGGATTGTAATGCTTTGGACAATCCTCAGGTTTCACGATGTGTGTCTATAAATCCATTTAGGTAAACAGCTATAAATGTAAAAGTACTTTCAAATAACAATAACTATGTAATAATCACAAAAATTTGTCAAGCATGTCATAAAATAAAGATGTCCCAAACCTCTACAATTCTTTAAAATAAGTAAATATACCCTAAGTCCTATAATCTGGGGACAAATATATAATACCTATTAACGATAGAAAGACTAGAAATATGTCCCATATGACTCTCTGTATCAAATTTGACCCCAAAATACTAGAATTTAGAAATTTGGAAGTAGAGTAGGGGTTAATTTTGGGACTCAAGTAAGCTCAAGAAACTCTTCTACTTCTCAAACACCCATGTGGTAAACATAGGCATTCCAAATTTTCTACAGACCTGTAAAGCCCTCTTTTGAGAAAACAGCCTGCAGTTCCAACTTTGGCCAACAGCCCTCCTGGCCTACAGCAGAATCTGCGTTAAAGCAAGAATTGCGAAATTCCAAAGGATGGGAGGTGGGGTGCAAACAGTGTAGGAGGTAGAGCAGAGACAGATGGAGAAAGCTAGCAACAGCTTCAAAAATTCGTCTGGCAGATCCTCGAATAAAGCAAATTCCAGTTTTGAGAAATACTAATGTCATTCAAAAAACTGCAACTTCATTCACAAACAAAATGGGTCTACTAAGGAAAAGATAAACAATTCTTATTCTATTTATTCTTAACTATATCCACATTCTATTCAAAGACCATACTTTCAAAATTTCGACACTAAACTAATAACAAAATGTTTTATGACTCCCCAAGTCCAAATGAAATGATTGTTGGGACCACATCAATTAATATATTATTCCCTTTGGATAAGTTTGTACAATGGGAAGAAACAGTTTAGAGGTTAGGAATGTACAAATATCTGTTGAAAATTGTGTTTTAAGAACCCAGTAGCAAGTGTTCTAACTTAAAGGCTGAATACAGTAATGAAAGAGCTCCTAAACTTGATTTCTAAAATGCAAAATTAAAAAGCTATTTCAGGACACAGAATGAAACAATTTTCATAGCCTCTATGTTGAAACTACTTACTGTATTACCCAAAAATGAGAAGGAATTTAATTAACTGCAATTGACAGATAAAACCCTGAGAGACAAGAAACTATATATTTAAAACTGAAAAATGATGTCATTTTGCTTATGAACTAAAACTTTTCCAGAAAAGATTATGTTAATAAGCAAGACTTTTCTCCTTAACAAAGCTCAAAACATAATAAAATTACTTTTTCAGTAAGCCCTTTCCCCCAGTGATAATATAATATTAATTTGGTTCAAAGACAAACTTGAAACAACAATAATTCAAATTAAACTGTAACTGGAGGGGGAAAAAGAAAACATGTTTTACTTTCCATGTTGAGCATAATTTTAAAATCCACAGCATCTCTACACTTTCACTTTGCTTTAGGGGAACACACTTTGTAAACGTGGCCATTGCTCTTTGCACCGACAAAGTACGAAGCCTTTCTCCCAAGACTGGCGGGCCTCTATCATCCACACTTTGCTTTCTTCCTGCTCAGTCAGTCCTTTCTGGGCCCTTGCTTTCTTTCAGTGTCCTAGGCCTCAAAACAACCCTTTCGTCCACCACCTCTTCAAGTTCATTCAAATTTCTGGTCCCCAGAGCATTTGTTGTTCAGAAAGAGGTCTATGAAATTAATGTATCCTTAGGATGGGCTTCAGGAGATCCATGAACCCGGTGAAAAGTACATGCAAATACTATACATCTGTGCATATATCCATTGTTTGTGTTGGGGGGTGGGGGTGCGGTGTCTCCAAATACTATACATCTGTGCATATATCCACTGTTTGGGTTGGGGGGTGGGGGCGCAGTGTCTCTGCAGCCACAGAGGCCATTGGATTTTTTTTAAGAGGCTAGGGATCTAAGTAAGGTATGATCAAATGATTGGTGGCCTCTTAATGGTCAGCCCTCCTGAGGATAGCTGCATTTATAAGAGGCAGCTAGAACTTCACATGAGATTTTTGGCAATACATATTCCTAACGTCTCCCAAATCAGAATAGGTGTTCTCTGTAGCTCCCCTCTCCACACGTGCAAAGCACGCACAAAGGTACTGCATTTAGCAATGCTCAAATCTAAGAATTCACCCAGAATAATATTTTTCAACTAGGTGTTTCTGCTCCCACCCACCCACCCAAAGGACAGGGGATGGACCACTGTAAGATTTCACAGGTACAAGAGAGGCTCAGTAGGTAGAATTCCAGGCAGTTTTCCCAGATGGTCACCTTACACACAAAGACATGATCACCATTCTCTTTAACTGTTCACCTCCTGTTACTAAGAACTCAAATTCACTATCAAAATTAAAAACTGATTGCATGAAGATCAGAAATTGTTTGAGCAGCTTTGTTTTCCTTGACAAAAATTTGAAGACTAATTTCAAAATCAATTTAACTCTTTACATAGATTTTAAATAGTATACAATGATAGCTTCCTATCTACCACCCCAACTAAGCCTATCTCCAAGTTATGCAGATTAAATAAAATAATGCTTCCTGATGCATTATTTCTAGAGCCTACCCATAATTTAGAAGCACAGCCATCTCTTTAATGCTCATCCTTACTACTCAGGCCCACCCCGTCATCCCATAACCATATTACTCCATGGCTAAATTCAGGCCTGGTTTGTAATGACTCGGGACTAGATGAGCTATCTTACAAATTGCTCTTCTCGGCCAGCCCCTTGGCTTAGCGGTTAAGTGCGCGCGCTCCGCTGCTGGTGGCCCGGGTTCGCGTCCCGGGCGCACACCGACACACTGCTTCTCCAGCTATGCTGAGGCCGCGTCCCACATACAGCAACTAGAAGGATGTGCAACTACAACATACAACTATCTACTGGGGCTTTGAGGGAAAAATAAATAAATAAATAAAATTACTAAAAACAAACAAACAAAAAAATTGCTCTTCTCCCCAGACCAGGCTCAGCAAATCAGGCTAGTTAGCTAAATCTTAATGGCAAAAGTCTGTCCTCATCCCCAAGCTCAAGAACCTAAGTTGATCTCTTATACAAAATGCCTCTCTATGATATGACACCAAGTTCCAACAAAACCTATTGCATTTACAGCATTCCATGGATTTAACTGAAATTTGCATCTCCTGACTTCAACTCTTAAGCACTGTGCATTTAACAGCTTTCCATAAATCCTGATGAAGCATTTTTCATATTAAAATGAGAGATACATCAGTTTCAGCTTCTAAAGTAACTGAGCTAACCCCCCAAACTTTTTATCTGCTTTTATTTTTAAATTTTGATTAAAAATCTTTCCAAAATAGAGCTGATCTCCCTATCCTCTGCTCTCAACAGGCACTAGCCTCATTCCCTTTTTCCATCATCCCCTACAATCCTCCAAGAACCTCTAAGCACATAACCATTTTGCTCCCAGTCTTTCATCCTCTGACACCATAATGCTCTCCGAAGTCACCAAACATGTCTTTGAGTCTGACAGTTCCCCCACTTCAAATTGGTACCACTTTGGCTAATCTCTACCTTCTTTCTTCTCTTTTCTACTTGTTTCTTTTTTTTTTTTTTTTTTGTGAGGAGATCAGCCCTGTGCTAACATCTGCCAATCCTCCTCTTTTTTTGCTGAGAAAGACTGGCCCTGAGCTAACATCCACTGCCAATCCTCCTCCTCTTTTCCCCCCAAAGCCCCAGCAGATAGCTGCATGCCATAGTTGCACATCCTTCCAGTCGTTCCACGTGGGATGCAGCCCCAGCATGCCCGGAGAAGCAGTGCGTGGGTGCGTGCCCGGGATCTGAACCCGGGCCGCCAGCAGCGGAGCGCGAGCACCCAACCGCCATGCCACGGGGCCGCCCCTCTACTTGCTTCTTACTCCTACCTTCTTTTCTCCCGTTTTCTACCGCTCCTCCCACATTTGTCAGCATTCAGGTTTAGCACAGCTGGACTTTTTCAGGTAAAACTCTGAAGGGTTTGGGCCCCTGAATCCTTCCTGCTTCATCATTTATCTCCAAAGCCTTACACAAGGCCAGGAACATAATGTGTGCCTAACACATTCGCTAAATATTTGGAGATGAGATAAAAGCTAATAACTTTTTTGGTTTCTTCCCAGTTGTGTGAAGCTCCAAAGACCAGTATTTCTAATCTCTACTTTTAGCCTCATTGACTCATGCCCTCCACGTCAAAATTACCTAAATTAGATTTAATATTTTTCCAGCTTGTTATGTATCCACTAACTATTCTTATTTTGTAAATATATACCTTAGCCATTTGGTTGTTACTAGGAGCTAGCTGAACTGTATGTACAGTATTTCCTTTGTAGAATCTCTCTCAGAAAACCAAATACTTTGACTGGGTTAGCAGCACCAGGCATAAGCACCTGCTCTCCTCCAGGAAGGAACATCTCTCAACTCAATAGCGCCTGCACCAAGGAGGTGGGCAGTATCAGGGAAGACTCTTGCACTTTTTGAATTTTACCTATCATCTGTTCAAATGTATTTACTATTAAGTAGATTCTCATTTGAAACAAAACTATTC